GTTGTTCTCATGTGTTGGCCGATACGGTTTGAGTCAGCTTCCGGTAGGGTCCCACCAGTAACCTGTGCGGTTTTTCCATCAGTTGGACATATCAGAAAGCGAGTGTAATCGCAGGATTATAACTCACCTGCGTCGTCTTAATTTGAAGTTGAACACTGCCACATGAACCGGTGCAATGTTTTTCATCAGTCTGCGTCGTCTTGATATCAAGTTGGTTAGTGTTCTGTGAATTTGTTCCCGTAAGTCCAGTATGTTCTGCTGATATGATGTCGTGCTGATTACTGCTGTGGAAATCTGCGGTTGTTCGCTCTTTACCAATTTGTGTCGTCTTCATGTCAAACTGGCCTCCGCTTTGCGTGCCCGTTCCCTTGTTGCACTCACCGCTGATCTCCGTAGTTCTTACATTGAATTGGATATTGTGCGTGTCCGCATCTATATGACTTTCACTAGTGATCTGCATCGATTTAACATCGAGCTTGCTGCTGCTTTGCAAATCCGTTCCGGAATTCCTATCTCCACTGATTTGCATAACTCCTGCATCAAGTTGGCTACTGCTGTGTGCATCTATTGTCGTACGGCTCTCATCACCAAACTGCACTGTCTTCACAGACTGCTCACTACTGACCGTTTTCGTTTCGGTGCGACTTTCACAAGAGGATTGGTTTGTCTGCGTATCCAGCGAACCGCCAAACGCATCAACCTCCAACTGGCTTTCCTCATCAACTGTAGTTTTCGATTCATTGTGGTCAGTGCTACGCAACTCCTTTTCAGCCTGTGCTCTACTAATTTGCTGTCCTGCATCACGGTAAACACCTCTGCACAATTCCGTTTCCGTACGGTTCTCGCTGGTGTTCTGCGTTGATCTGATATTGAGTTGGCCACTTCCGTGCAGATTAGTTTCTGTATGACTCTTACCAGATAAGTGCATTACCTTTACATCGAGTTGTCTGCTACTGTGCGAATCCGTTCCAATGTAGTTTTCGCTAGTCCCTTTAATATCGATTTGATTGCTGTGCGAATTAGTGTCCGTTTGTTTTCGTCCTTCAGTAGTTTTATGTGAAGTCTCAATGTCGAGGCTTTTGCTCTGCGAGCCTGTTCCCATACTGCTCTCGCCGGAGACTGGCGCACTTTTCACATCGAGCTGACCACTGCTATGCAGATTAGAGTCTATATCCACACGATTCTGTTCAGACATTTCCGTTTCCATAGATATCCCACTGCTGGACGATGTCGTTTCGGTGCGACTTTTACCAGCAACGTGTCCTGTGTGCACGTACAAGTAACCACAGAATTCTTCAGTTTTGGATTGACTCTCTTCGATAGCTCCAGTGTTACCGGATTCCTGGTAGCTAGTAATGTGCAGGTCCTTTCCAACTTGCGCAGTGCTATTGGACTGCGATGCTAAAAGATGGTCATTGCCGCTTGCGTTCGCACAGGTGCAGCTCTCAGCAATGTTCTGCGTCGCTTTGATATCGGCTTGAATGCTGGTATGCAAGTCTGTTCCCATTTGGCCCCCGGAAATCTGCATTGTTTTTATATCGAGTTTGCCACTGCTTTGCGAGTTTGTTTCTGTTCGGTTCTCAGCAGTAATCTGCCTCGTCTGAGTAATCTGAATATCGCCGTGCGACTCCGCTGTCTTATAGCAACCACCTTTAACCTGCATTGTGTTCATATCAAATCGGCTAC